AAAACTTTCTTCCTTTTATTTAACATGTATGAATTTTATTTGTCCAGTACCACTCAAGCTATTTTCATGGCTCTATAAATTTGCCCTGAATCCCTTCTTCTTCAAATTAATATTTGGAAGAGAGCTTTTTCACCGTTTGTCTTTTCTCTTCTCCCCCACCCAATAATGTTGGAAGTATCACAGTTCTTTTTCAGCTTTCCTACTCAAGATATAGGATATCAGCCTTTCAACATTGATAACTTAAATCTATTCTTCTCCCTTTTCCCATGATGGTGTCATTACATTTTATAAAGACCCGAGAGAAAAAATGATCTCCCTTTACAAACGTTTTTGGAAGACCTCGTTCAGACTCCGCAGGAACACCAATAGTTTGGTTCACCGTTTCCTAAACCAGAGTTAGAACCCTTTTTTAAAACCTAGCTTCCATCAAGCCAGTACGTATTTTGCCAGTTAAAATATTAATTCTGTCTCCAGCTCTTTTTATCATTAAATGATGATTCAGTTTCCTACTGAAATCAAACAAGTTTAATAAAAAAGAAAATGACTGTGTTCAAATATTTCCAATCATATCTGCACTGTTCACATTTAATGTTAACATTTTTTGTGCCTAAACACAGCTCTCACTAGTCAAGTTGTCACACTAACAACTCATTTTCAGATACTGCACTACAATCAGTAATTAGATGGATTAATATGCTACCATAGAGTAAAACCAACAAGAGTACAAAACACTTTGCATTTACAGTTAGAAAATGCTTTGGCAGACTCAAATACCAATTCAAAATTCCTCACTGTTTTGTATTACATGTACAACTTAATCTGGATTACTTCCTACAAAATACATCTCAGTGGCAGCTACACATGAAAGAATTTGCTATTATTCTGTATTGTGAAATAGCAAACTTCTTGTCTGGAGAAGATGCAAGCAAAGTAAGTACTGGAAGGCAGCAAGTTGTAACTGGTCTCACAGACGCACATTTCATTACTGCATGCCACACTTCACCAACACTGTATCTTGAGTACTTTGTATGAAAAAAATGTAGTCTTGTTAAGCGAATTAGAGAAGTTTTACATGCAAAAATACATTAATTCTGCATTTTGTGTGGCACCTTTAAAATTGACACCATACGAAGTATTAAGTAATGCATCAACTGGCTAAGCATTGTGATAGGAGTTCGTAATACCCTTCTGCAGCTCAAGTACAACACAGCTATTGCATCACTACAATGGGCAGAAATTACCCTTGCTATTAGTGTTTTCAAAAAGTTTGTTTCTGACTAAGTTTCATGTTTTGTATTGTGACCTTACAGAAAACATCATCAACCCAGACTCCCAATCTTTTCATTGTACAGCTAGAGGACTAGAGCTAACATTACCCTTATCCTAATGGTTTTGAAGTGGTTGGTATATGTTCAACTGTAACTACGATTTCTTGAATTTAAAAGATGAAGATGCATTTCTTTATCAAGATTTGGTTATTTACCTTTCTACTCCAAATAAACAAACACTTGATTTCAGTATCCCTATGCAACAATTTGTGTATACACACAAAGAAAAGAAGCACTGAAACACTGGCTTCCTCCACTAAAAGGATCTCAAAGCCAGAGGAGAACATTTGGAAAGGTCACATGGTCCTGACAGTCACTGCTCTCCCTTCCTAGCTGTGTCACCACCATCCATTCATAATTTACTTCATGTGAGACTAAGACTAACTGCAGACCTTTGCTGATTCACGAGAAATGCTGACAAATGGGGACCAGCACTTGCACTGCTGACAGGTCTTTGAAACTTAAAGACTACCTCCTTTAGTGAGAACAAGCAGAAGAGGATGGAACTGGGTCTGGGAGTGGGGCGCAGAGCATGGAGATGGAAAACTAAGTGATGCAGGTGATACGGAACTGAGAGCCCTCTGGAGATGCCAGCTGTAGGGAATCTGAACCCAGGCCAGTTAATGCTGTTGCGACCTAGTTCCACAAAACAAGTTGCAAAAATGGTCCTGTAATGATATTCCTGGAAGGTGCAATTCTGGATTTTTCTGCTGTCCTGGGTGGTGTCTACTGCCAAATAAGAGAATCATTGCCAGACACATGTTCACAAAAAGACATAACCTGTAATAAGCAAAGTATCTTCTGGTAAACTTTACAGAGCACAACAAAAAAATTACCTACCTGTTCCTTGTAGGATGCCAAATACTACACCACCACATATTCTTCCACAGAGGGGCTAACCCAGAGAAACACAGCATATTGCTCCTATGAGGGGAACAACATGAAATCCAAGACCAGGGAATGACCTCATGTTGCATTCTACAAAACCAAAGGCAAAGAACAGCTAGCCTCTTAACACCAAATCACCGAACAAAAATGGTTTTGAAAAAATTAGAAGAGCCTAGCAATACTGAGAGATAAATACTTAACTCTTGACAGCATTACCAAGGAAGTCTCTTAAACACTGAATAAACACATCAAAAAAAGCAACACTAATTCACATTCTAGTTAGTGTCTCTTTTCCTGGATTTGGGAGGAACAGGAGTCCAGACCTCATGTGTGAAATGAGAGCACAGTGAAAAGGCAGGCAGACTATGGTGAAACTTTTTGCGAAGGATAACAAAATCTCACTTTAAAAAAAAACAACAAAACCAACTAACCAAAATACCCCAAAAAATTGTTTGGTACAGATTATAATACCAAAGAATTCAAGAAAACGCAATGGAAAGTAAGTATAAATCTCCATCAGATGCTTTACAGCCTACTTAAAGTCCCAAGCCTTTAGAATTCTAACTTCTCCAGCATTTACACACCCAGATGCACACTTTTCCACCATAAAACTGGTACAGTATCCCAATTCTGTCAAGAAATACCAATAAATCTTGTTCGTAACTTTGCGCACAGACCATTTTAAAGAAAATACACAGGAAAAAAAATTCACGTAAACAAGATTAAAGCCTGTTTTTTCCCTATACCATGTTCTTCCAAGGCAGCCTCTTCTCCATAAAGTTGGAAAACCATCTCTCCCATACTAATATGTGTTATTCTATCCCTGTAACTAAAGTTGCCTAAACGAACACACCTGATGTGTGAAGTAGGAGGAGAATCATTGAGAAATTAAGAGACAGACTAGCTTTAAAAAAAACAAAAAGAAATCACAAGGATACAGTGGTAGATGTAATTTTTAATCTCACAGTGCTCTCATGGTTTCAGGAATGCATTGTTTGTTCACACACCTGAGAAGTCTACATCCAGGATCTAAAACTACCAAAACTCACACTCACTTACCAATTAGGTAATTAATTAGGCAATTATCTCTTTTTTTCTAACTAGGTATGTCTAAATGAATCTGCTTTGGAAAGAGAATATTAAGCCCAGTTTCATTAACAGTCACTCCTTCTAAAAATACCAACAAATATCAAAGACAGGAAATGTAATTTTCCCTAGTACAAATAGCTAACAACTAAAAGGAAAATTCATGCTATAGTCTTCATAAGAAACACACATGAAAACCTACTTTCAAATTCTATTTTAACAAAAAGAGTTCGAACGTCTTTTAATACACATCACCACTTTTTATAACAGTCCATGCACTTGTCACTGAAAACCACTACGGAACAGCATATATCACTTACCACTATAATAAAACTTCCATAATTTTGATCTGTTCAAGTTAGAAAAGCCTGTATTCCTCTATTGCACATTGAAGAGAGTATTATGGACACATGCACCAACAGCAACTTTGTGATCAATGATCATTTCATTTCAGTTAAAAGCTGTATCTTTAACCATTAAGAAATCCATCTCTACCCTCCCGGGAAAACATTAAAGTGGAGGGGAGGAAGGTGAGAACAATCAGTAGTCTTACTAAGTTTTAACTTTAACAAGTAAACAACCAAAAGAAGTTAGTGGATTCAGGGAAGAGAATTCTTTGACAGAGATACACACGTACTCGCACAAACAAATCTGCAAAATACTGCGACACATACCAAAACCCCATCACATATACAACACTGCCTAAGATCAAGCTACTAACTAGAAGCCAGCAGTATGAGCCACAAATATTGAATTCTCCTATAATGTTTCCGTCAAACTGTTTTAAGATTAGATGAAACATATATGTAACAAATTAGATAAGAGAGATAAGAGAAGTTCCTAAGATAAGTTCCTAAAATGGCAGAAAGTCACCCTTTCAGATGACAACCCCTAGTTTTAGAGTACTAGTCCGAACACTTCACCCGCTTGTAAACAAGCACAGAGAAAACGAGCAACTTTCTCTCCTGGTTTCATACTCCCATTTCTTCCAGCACAAATTCCTTTCTTAGCTTCCATCTCTTCCTCCAGCCTGCTCCTTCTGACTAACTACCCACTGAACTCATCCACGGCGGTAAACACAACGGGACCAGAGGCAAGCACACAGAACACGTTTCTCCGGCGGCCTCAAAACATGCCAGTACTACACCAGCATCGGCCTCCTCGGCCGCAAGGCAAAACCGAGGGAAAACGGGCAGATCCCCAGTCCGCCAGAACACAAGCCATCCCTCGTCAGGGCCAGGCAGGCTGCCGGCACACTTCTGCCCCGGGCCCCGCTTCCCCGGCACCCAGGGGGGCCCTGGTGCGCGGAGCGCGGCCGGACCCGCCGCGGCGGCGGCCGACACGTCGGCAGGGCCGCCCCGCGCCACCGCCCACCCACGGCGGCCGGGCCTGCCGGGGGCGCCGCACCTCGCTCCGCCCGTCCTTCGGGCGGAGAAGCGGGGCGGCTCGGCCCCCCCGCCAGCCGTACCTGCGGCCCCGGCCCCGCCCGGCGGAGGCCGCGCGGCGAACGGGCCGTACCGGCCTCCCCTGCTATGACACTGCAGAGCGCGGCCCGCCCGACGGGGCCTCTCCTTCCTTCCGCCGCCGGGCCCCGGGCCCCGCTCCCGGCGGCGCCATGATGATGATCGGCCCCCAAGGCCGCCGGGCCGGGCCCCGCCGCCGCCGCCGGGAGCGGCCTGGGCGCCTCGCGCCGCTCACCTTCATGTCGGGACATCCTAGTCCAGAGACGGCGGCCCAGGCCCGTCCCGGGGCTCCCGCGGGCAGCTCGGGCGCCGCTGCGGCCTCGCCCCCCGCCGCCGCCCAGGTGCGAGAGGAGAGGGGCCGGGGCTGGGCCGGGAAGGGGGCGAAAACACAAGAGGCGGCGAGGAGCCGGCCGGCCTCCCTCCTCCTCCTTCTCCTCCTGCCTCCTCGCTCGCCCTGCGGGGGGCGGATCCGGCGGCAACGGCTTCCCGGGCGCCGTGACACGGTGACTCCGGGCCCCGCCGGCCGCTGGCGCCGCCTCCCGCGCCGCTCCGCCCCTGCCGCACCAGCGACGGCGGCGGCCGCGCTGGAGCCTTCCCGGCCCCGGCCCCTGCCCCTTCCCTTTCCTCCTCCCGCCCCGGCCGCGCTGCCAGAGGAAGAGGAAACTACCCGGCAGGGCGGCGGCCCTCCCGCGCGGGCTGCCGGGCCAGGGCGGGCTCTGCCTGGGGCAGGGAAGCTTTCGAGGTAGCGGAACCCAGCACCGGCGTGACCCGAAGGACACGCATTAATCAGCTTTTTTTTATGTAAAAGGAGCGGAGAAAGAGCGGCTGGGCGCATGCCCTGAGCCAGTGTTCCGTCATTGATGGTGTTACCAATTCTGCCAGATTTGGGGAGCTGCGACTCCAGGCACAAGGCTGGAGTATTTCTTTCGTGGTTTTTTTTCCGCGTTCCGCCTTTGTCAGGCCTGCAGAGGACTGCCAGAAGTGTCCTTCAGTTAAACTCTAATTTTGTAAAGAGTATGCCCACGGAGTGCCATGTGTTGTCCCACTCACAGAATCACAGAATAGCTTGAGTTGGAAGGGACTCACAAGGATCGTCAAGTCAAACTCCTCGCCCTGCATAGGACAGCCCCATGAATGATACCATGTGCCTAAGAGCGTTTTCCAGTGCTTGAACTCTCTCGGGCTTGGTGCTGTGATCACTTGCCTGGGGAGCCTGTTCCAGTGCCCAACAACCCTCTGGTGAAGAGCCTCTCTCTAATGTCCAGCCTAAACCTCCCCTGACACAACTTTATTCTATGTCTTCGTCTCTGGTCATCACAGATATAGAGATCAGTGTCTGCCCCTCTTCTTCCCCCCACGAGGAAGTTGTAGACTCCAATGAGGTCTCCCCTCAGTCTCCTCAAGGCTGAACAGACCCAGGGACCTCATATGGCTTCCCCTCAAGGCCCTCTACTCCGGATAAGTGCCTTGGTGTGTGCACACCACGAGAACTTTTCATCCTGCCATTATTGGCTTCCTGCCACTTCACAGAAGCAGGCCAGTCTTGAAACAGCCTTGAAAGACCTGCAACATGGCCATGTTCCTTCCCTGGTTCAGATGCACAGGGCACGTATATAATGCATTTTGTTTCTGCCTTTCTTACCATGACTTCCTGGCCTTTCCCTAGATTACCTCCATAATAATAGCACCATACTTCTCACCTTCACCCACCTGCTTTCGTTTTCTCTGTGTTTTCCATCTACTGTGCTTGTGGCATTCCTTCATCTTTTCCCTTTGCCAATCCAACACCTCTGTCTTCTCCGCTGTCTTTCTCCACAGCTCCCATATGTCTGCCTCAGCCCTACAATTCTTAAAGATATATGTTGGTGAAATACTTTCTCAGTCTGTTTCAAAGGCTGTAAGAGTCTACACCAAAGCAGCTTAAGTATTAAGGTGCTGGGAAAGCCACCAGGAGTGAAACAGGTGTTCAAAAGAGTAAGTGCCAGCCTCATTCCTGGCACCACCTCACTCCCTTGCCAATTGCATTATACAGCCTCTACTTGACACCTTACATACATGTGCACTCTTTGTTCCTGGTACAAAGGTGTTCCTGGTTTCTGACCACCTGGTTCACTTCCAGATTCCTTCAGCTACATGCAGTTTCATAAACAGTGCCTACTGAGAACATAACCTGGATCTAAAACTCTAAAATTCCAGTAGGTTGTGGGCATTTTCAGTGGCAGCAAGCAATACTCGTGAATTGGATAAACTTGGGAAAATAGAGATCATTTTGAGGAACATTTTGACGGGGTCAAATTACTTAATTGTTTGTGAAAGCAGGTGGACAGTCAATGACCATGCAAAAAGTTTGTAAGAAGTACACCAAAGATGAAAAGAATCTGAAGAGCACCTGGCAGCTGTCATAATACTACCAAAGTATGAAAGCACGTCTTGGAGTGTTTGTCACTGTTAAGGGTAAAATTTGGTTAGTTTGTTGCCAGTTAAGGTTGTTAATTTTCTAAGTTAATTGTTGCCCTGTTGTGGCTTTATGAAGAGTTTATTGCGTTTGAAGTTAGTTAAAATGTTACAAAAAGTCAAATTAATGTTTGTTAAAAGTTTAAAGGAGTCCAGGATGGCGTGGGGGTTGTTTCCGAGGGGCGTGGTAACACCTTGAGGGTGACGTCAGTGCAGTGACATCAGCGCCACAAGACGAGATGGGTAGAAGGAGCGGTCCAATCACTCGATGCCCCGAGAGAATGGTTGGACAGGAATGAACCGTGTTAAAGGCCAATGAAAGCCCCAAAACCGGACCAGTTATCACGAGGATCCAAATCCGACCAATCCTGGACCCAAGGGGGTTATAAAAGGGGCTGTCAGGCTCCTCCTCGCTTCGCTCCTGAGGAGCTCGTTTCCGAGCGAGCCGGGTGTGTCGGGGCTTCGACACATTTGTATCGTTTCTCCGGCTTGCTGCGAGGGGACTCGGGCTAATCTCGGGTCGTCCGTTTTCTACAGCTCTCTTTAATAAACGAGTGCCTCTTTTACAAAAAAGTTTTTACTCTGTTTCAAACGACCGGGTGGCTTTCAGCTAAAAGCTCTGGCCTCGTTCATTACGACACTGGGGGCTCGTCTGGGGTGCCACACCCAGAGACGGTCCTGGGGTAGAACAGGACTTGGAGACGCGCCTCCAGCCCATTTTTTTGGCTGCCGAGGACTGATGAAAAGAATCTGAAGAGCACCTTGCAGCTGTCATAATACTACCAAAGTATGAAAGCATGTATTGGAGTGTTTGTCACCACTCTAGTTCTAGTGTCAAAGCTGTACCTATCCTGCCAGCATTTCACAGGAACAGTGCATGCACAGACTGGAGCAGTGAGTAAGATGTGTTTTACTACTTTATTTTGTCACCAACAATTTTAAATACAAATGGCAATTGTTTCACCCAGATGCAAAATACAGACCACCAGTTGCTCCCTTTCAGTCCCTAGAAGAGCAAGCTAGCTTACTAACTCGGCTGACTAGAGATATTTCATTTCTGTAATAGACTGTGGCTCCTGCTGAAAATAACTTTCGTCACTCTGAGCACTACAATGCTGTTTTGGCTGTGCTAGGTTTTATCCCGTTACACAAGAGTGACCTCCCACAGGAGCTTCTCCCCCTGCATCTGATAAAATACAGACTGCATGCCAGATATTTCATTGGGACCTGGAAGATTCTGGGCTTAATCATGAAAGTCTTTGATCCAATCATCTTTTTTTCTCCACACTTCAGTTAAGAAACAGTTCAATAAACTTTCCTCTATTAAGCGTTACTCAGACGGATATCCCTTGAAAGCACATGGTACCTCTTCTGTGATGTCTTCTCCATCTTTGTAGGCTTGAAGTCCAAAATTAAAACTGTAATCCTGTTATTATTTCCCGTTTTCTTGCCTTAAGGCCTGTATCCATACCCAAGGACATAGTATAGATAAACGCCTTGGTACTTTTGGAATTACATTAGAATATGCCTGCATGTGCAGCAGTATGTAAAAAACACCTTCAGTGGGAATTTTGCTGATTGTCTTCTCTGCAAATATAGCAAATAGTGCAAATATAAGATAACCAGGCTCTCAGTGATTAGGATGTGGCAACTCTGTGCGTATGTGCAAAGAGGTACATAACAGAGTTGGAATGTCCTTTACAAGGTCATGGCTACCAGTAGAAAATATTATTTTCTTAGCACTATCTTGATAATTAATAGCCTATACTGTCCTACTTTGGACAATACTGTTTCTCAAACCCATATGCTGTTATTCCACAGGCAGAATGAGAAAGAAAGATTTTAGTTAGGTTTATTAAATTTTAGTGTGGATGAATATTTCTGTCTGCAAGTAAGAAGCCTACTATAATTGGCTGTCTTAGTCTTTCTCTCCTGAAAGAAGAATTCATAGGTGATACTTCCCTTAAAGCCACAAGGAAAAAAATTCAACATTAGTATCTCCCTCATGGATAAAAGCAAGCTGAGAAATAAAAATTTTATTACTCAAAGTCATTCAAGGTCAGGACCAGACAAGGAATTAGAGACCCAGTTCTCACTGCTAATTAGGCCACTGGATAAGCCACAGTGATAAACAGAAAAACTGATGAATTTTCCCAACATATAATAATAATAATATGATAAAATTTGTCTCTGAGAGTCATAAAATCCTCTGAGATAGGGAAGACATGGTTGTGTGGCTTCATGCAGTTCCTTTCTCTGCCATTGTAAAAAAGTTGTCTGGAACAGACCAGGAGAAGTTTGACCACTGAACACTAGTCACTGAACTTCGAATTTAACAGTGACATCCTAAAGCATAACTCCTGAGTGTTAGATCTGTTACATTAGGAGACACTTAATTGCCATTAATGTCCTCAAATTTTTTGTAAACTACTGAAAGCATGCTGAGACTGTGTTTTTAACTTGTTTCAGTGCTATTCCTAATAGGCTTCATCCATTTGAGGAATGCTTTACTTGCTTGAACATGTCATTACCAAGGCTGGACAACCCACACATGCCACAGTAGCTCCTTGCAGGTTTGGTGGTTCCGGCTCACACTTGAAACTAAAACACTACAAGACTCACATATATCAGTTGCTTGCTCATCAGTAGACACATATGGAACTGATGATGCATACAGTGCACAGTCAAATATTGGATTTGTTCATGTCAGGGCCTTCCATTAGATTTCCTTTTCTGCTGTTTTTCTGCCTCCTTTTGCTCAGTAGTGGTTCAACATGATGCAGACTTGCTTACTGGCTGTGCTCAGTATGATACGTAAATAAAGCTTTTAAAATCAAACAGAAAGACAGTCTTG